GCGGTCGTCCCAGCGCTCAGTCCCGAAAGCTTTACCAATGCGCGCACAAGACCGCTAAAAAACGCAGGAGAGACGGGTAATGAAGCGGGTCAGCGGCATTGGCGCCATCCCGGGAAAGCTAAAGCTTAGGCTAGCGCGCTCCGCGCTGGACCACGACGGCCATGCTGGATTTAAGAGCCTCCGGCTCAGCCGCCGACCACGGTCTGAGGTCAAGCCTGCCTACACACAGCTCCAAACCAAAGGTGTCTGCTTGCCGAACCCAAATCGCGAAGTGTAGGTCATGCTACACCACAGGCCACGAATGAAGCTTTGCAATACAAAAGCCTGGAACATTGCCAGTATGGGTGCCGGATACCAAACATATGTGTGCGTGTGATTACTTGGGAGCGGCAACTTGAGTCAGCACGAAGCTGGGGCCGGCTCATGTTCTATTTGGTCTAGGAGTCTAGGCTGCTCGTGCCGATTTGAGAGGCCACTGACTGGAGGCCTTCACCTTTTGTTTCGGCTGCACATTGCTGTCTGTGACACTCCACAAGATCTTCGGAGAAGTCTGGAGTCTGGAGATATCGTACAGCATGGCTCCGCGTGCTTGTCTAAGATGATTGCAGGCAGAGGGTTGCCAACTTGGAAGACTGATGGTTGGAAACCAGAGAACCTCGCGCATGTCACGAACGAGGGTTGAAAGAGAAAGTATCCACTGGCGTCACGAGCGGTGTTCGACGTCGCAATGCGGTCCGATCATGAAGCCTGTCAGAATGTTTTCGGCAGAGTGATAAGATCAACACCGAAGCTGATGTGGAGCGTAGTGTGAACACTCAATTTGAATCTGCCTGACCCTACGTGTGTAGGCACCGTTTTGCCGCCCACCACCCCTTGCAAAAGGCTGTCCAGCAGCAAGCGCAGCCGCTCTGCACCAGGGCCACCCAGGCCGGGTGATATCAGACTTGAGTTCGGCAATTAGATTTGCAATGCAGCATTTGGTCATATTTGGTCGAGTCATGGGCCGACTGTGTCACTCAGTCGAGACCGCTGACGTGTCCAATTGATCAACAACACCTGAAAGAGATAACCTCGCGCTGTGTTGTGACCACTCTCCCTTGTCCTGCCGTTGTCAGGTGTGCTTTCGTGCTTCCGCCGATCAAAGCTAGTTCACCCCAGCGCCGCGAGCTTGAGCCAGCCTTTGTGCGCGCCGCGACAGTTAACCAAACGAGCGAAGTTGCCTAGTGCTTACCGGTGTTCCGTCCGACCAAGACCTTTGGACGCAGAGCTGTCTCCTGTAATTCTAAGCTCGGTCGGCATGAATGTCAATGTGACTGAGGCGATGCAAAACAAGCTGCCGTTCAGAGGCAAGTCTGAGAGGAGGTGTTGACTGTCTCAGCTACTTGTCGTCGTGGCTGCAACTGGCAGCAAGGCTCCAATAGAATAGCATGATGGATCAGTGCCGCCGAAACTGCGCCGGGGTGGAAGTCTGTGCTTGTCAAGTCACCCGATACCTGAGCTGTTGCGCTTCCGGAAGCACGCTGTAATTGCCCGAATAGTCTGGCAGGTCACTTTCCGCCAAGCCTGCTCGCGCGTGCCTGCCGATGAAGAGCGTGTCCCACTGTCGAGTTGCGAGAATGGGGTCGATGCGGGAAGGTCCGAAAGCACAGTGTTCTTGTTTATTCTTTTTGCCTTTCTGCCAGGCAACTCCTACTCTGAGCAGCTCATGGCTGCTCGGAGATTCAGAATTTTCCTTCCTATGTTCCAATATCCTCGAAATCACCACCAGCGTGGTACGGCTGTGACAATCCAGAAGCAGAATACTGACCAATGAAAGTCAAGTCAACTAAGTTGCTACAGCCAACGGGTACTGCAACACTGGGAAAACTGCTAGCAACGCAGGCCAGTTGCAAGCCCGACTTAGTCCAACTTGTGCATGCGAGCGTAGTTATCGGACGCGCACTGCTGTTTCACTCTTCAGGTCTGCTGCGAAGCAGCTCTTTACAGCGCACTGTTGTCTAGGGACGATACTGACATGTTTCTTGGCCCTAATCGCTTTCATTCTACTTGCCGCTTTGTCTTGAACACCAGTTGTGCGCATGCAGGTAGATAATGGAGCATGCAGGTTTGCCAAGCAGGCAAAGGGAGCTCTTCTGCAAGGACAAAAACGCTTCCGGTTATGCTCAGTTGCCTGCAGCCAACCTCAAAGCGGCTGTGGTCTGAATCGTGCGCCTGCGGACCAAGCTTTAACCGTAGCTCATATCATGTCTACCATGGCATGCTGCTGTGTTGCTCGCAATATCGAACCCTGTTCTAGAAAGGTCATAGAAGGTGCTTTCGTGTTCCTGCTACCTCATGAAAGCCGATTCTCAGCAAAGTACTGTCAACCGTGGTACCCAACCAGCCATGGCAGAGTTGCCCATACCATGCCCAACTGCTCCTGTGGAATTTGCACCTCGCTGTTCACGCCATCAGAATGGGAAAATCTGACTCGGACTACTCCGATGAGGCCGGCTTGCTGCCTGCACAAAGAGTCTCATCAGTCTTAAGATCGGCTCCCGAGGAAGGAGCATTCTAAGCGACTGGCATGCTCGCCGAAGGACAGTGATTCCGGCAGCTCCGTCAAGGAGGTAAAGAAAAAGAAGAAGGACACGAGCTTTCCTTGGATTTGGAGGCCCCTGGGAAATCTGGAACGTGCCTGTGGCATACAGGATAAAAAGAAGAAGAAGAAGGAAAAGAAGGCCTCCTCGCTAAATCCACACCTTGAGCTTGAGGTTGATGTTGATAGGCTGAGGCGAGAACATGGCTGCCTGCACAAGTGAACAGACATCCCTTGCAGCCGCCGCTCAGGAAAAGAAGAAGGCCGGCGAGAAGCAGTATCAGGTTGCTTCGCAGGTTAAGCTGTTCGATGAGTCAGGCGAAGAAAGAGAAAAAAGCCAAAAAAGACAAAAAGGCACTCTTGGAGCATCCTTTGCCAGCATCTATGAAACGCTCTGGCGCATTCGGCAGGCAAAAAAAAGAAAGCGCAGCCCAAGCAGCTACAGCGACTACAGTCCACCGACTGATCTTTCGTGCAGGCGGTCAGTGGCTTGCGCATCACCTCCCTTGCACAGGTTGCAGCAAGGACAGCCGAGATGACTCTCGCAGTCGCAGTCGCAGTCCCTGCCCGCGCCTGAGAATGCGCTGATCCTTCAAGCTGCACTGCTGCTCTTCCACCGCGCATAGAGAGCAGCTCCCCAAGCACTCCGCATTCCCCTTTGAGGCCGCAACCGAGGCCGATCGCCGCCCAGACGGTCCCCGCCTAGGCCACATGATGTTGTTCAGGGTGGGATCTTCAGACATTCATGCTCTTGTGCAGGTATAATGCCTCAGGAGGTGGCGGTGGGTACGGAAACTATGGTGGGGGCCGCGGAGGCTACGGCGGGCGCTGCTGGCTCGAGTTGATAAGCGCGTGCTCACAGGATGCGATGTCACAACAGTCCACAGCTCCATATTAAATATCAATACATACTCGACAGGCCTGCCCGCAGCCGCAGCAGGACTGCCAGCTTCAGTGCATGCTCCAAATGTCTGAACGATGACATCTTGATGGTTGACCGACCGACTTGTCAGGAGCCCTGCCTGGGCTGTGCCAGCAAGACACCCGGGGTCGCGGGTAGACCACTTGAAAGGGGGTCAGCATTGAAAAGCTTCATGTTTCCGTATGGTCACGGGCCCAGGCTCCCCGATCACCGATGAAGCTTCCAGAAGGCCCGCACGCGCGCGCACGAAGGGCTTTCTCCGAAGCTGGGTCTTCCCGGAGGCCGGCCTCTCACCCTGGCAGAGGCATGTGAGGCCAGGACGGCCAGGGTCAGATCAGATGGGTCGCGCATCAGCGAAGCCTCCTCCGTTTGCAAGGCCGCGGGTCGTGGAGTGACGACCGGCAAGACGGCGCAGGATGACGAAGTGCAAGTTCTGGATCCAGACGAGGCGCAGCACCATGGCAGGCCTGGCCGCTGTCAGAGTCCCATCCTTGCACAGGCACCCGTCAGAGCCGAGAAGCCACTGGCTAAGTTTCGCTGCCATGCGTGCGATGCACGCCAGTTATGCTCACGGCAAGTTGAGTGCGCGGCGATGCGGCTCGCTAGCATCGCTACAGAATTTCACAAGCTGAACCACGCGGGGAAGCTGTTGTTGCTCGCAACCGTTGAACAGCAAGCCGTTGCTGCCTGTATAAAATGCAAACAAACCACTCCGAACGTCTGCGCAGGACGGCATATGTGCTATGAACTTACATGAGGTTTACATCCTTCGACGATGCAGACGAGTTCCCACGGGAAATCCGAGAAGAACTCAAGCATCGCTGGCATGTTTCATTCTGAAGAGACGTGAGAGAGAGTAGGGCTTCCGAAACTTGCCGGTGCTACGGCAGGAGTGCTGGCTTTCCGGCACCATCTCAGATCCAGGCAAGGTTGACTGTTCGCTAAGCTTACCGTAGAGATCCGTCGAGAAACAGCTGAACAGACCTCAGCACACAAGGTTTTTTTGAGCTGGCCGATAGAAGACTCCACCTCAGAGTGTCCTTTCTTGTTTATGGGGCTTGCTGTGAGGCTTACACCTGGCCGCTGGGTCTGCGAGGCAAGGACATCATCGGCCAGTGGCCCAGAAGTTCGTGACATGTCTGTTGGCTGCAGAAGAGCTCTTCGCGTCCCGAGGCATCGCAGCGACCGGCAGTGGCAAGACATTGGCCGTGTGCTGGGCACGGGCAATTGCCATCTGCTTTCAGGATTAGCGAGCGCAGGAGTGGAGCCTGAGAGAGCAAATCGCGCCCAGGCATTTCTCCTCCCAGCTTTCGCCCAGATGGTTGAGGAGGCAGTTTCGCAGACATGGACCATATAAACAATGCAGTCTTTCTGCGCACGTCGTGATCCGACAAAGCCATTGACAACCACGTAAAGCTTGTTCATCCTCGGTCACTTCTTCGAGCGCTGAGCTGAAAGTGATTGAAGGGACCGTACTGCTGCATGGACTTCGCTGCGTGCCAGAATCACCGTCCCGAGCGAGACGGTGCAGGAGCTCTAGTGATGTCTCCCACGTCCGGTCCCAGGGATCTTCGTGGTGACACGGAGAGCCTCAAAAGCCTGGCACAATGCCTTGCAATGCCTTGCAACCAAGGCGGGAGCTAGCGCAGCAGACCGAAGCGGAGGCCCAGGGCCGAGCCTCTCTGATTATCTGAGCTCTCCCTTCAAAAGAATGTGGGCGGGAGGGGCTTGCTGGCAATCGATGGGTACGGCGGGGATTGAAATCTCGCTTGAACTGCAACGCAGTTGCTTTCATCCACCCAGTGTGAAAAAAGAGTCACGCCCGAGGCTTTCATAAGGGTTGAGAGTTCGATAAGGAGAGAAGCCAGCCCGTTAGAGCAGAGCATAAGCAGCACGCTGTTGCATCCATTTGCCTTGGAGGATTCAGGAAGTTCGTAATCAGTGGTCCAATGCAGTGGTTACCACCTGGGACCTGCTCTTGAATGTCGCTCCGGGACCGATACATGTAACCTAGCTGGAGCTGTCACAATGAGTCACAATGTGCAGCCTTGGCATGACAGGCTCAGCGCTTTGGGAAATGCCTTGGCTTCCGATGTGTCGCTATGCCACCCACCTGTCTCAGTCCACTGTAGGAGTAATAAGCGCAAAGATGCACAAAGTAGAAGAAGAGTCGAAGCATGGTCAAAGCGACTTAGCAGGACATGTGCAAGTAGCTGTGCCTTGACTCTGTACGCTTGTATGAAGATCTCACCACCTGCAGACATCCATGTGCATATCGATGCATGCCACAGGTACGGCGGTGCTCCAAAGGGCGACCAGATGAGCAGGTACCGCCAAGGGTGTCAGCCCGCGCCTTAGCGCAGCAAGTCCCTGAATGCAGTATTGCACCACGCTTCGGTCGTTTTTGCATGCGTCTCAAAAGAAGACCACGTGTCCATCCATGACTCCGTAACACAGAGGTGACACAGAGCAGTCTTCCAAGATCCAGTGGGTTATGAAATTTAAATGGGAGGATTGCCAACCAACACTGACAGGAAGATGCAGCTCGTCGAGCAACAGAATTTTGCGAATGGATGAAATGGGCTGCATATGGCTCATCATGATCCGACCGACCATCCCTCTCCTCTGGGCCGCCCCATCCACTCCGTGTTCCGTCCCATGAATCTGCAAGGTTGGCATCCAGCAATTGAAAAGGTCTCACAAAACAAAACGCTCCATTCTGACTCTGACGAGGTTGGAGAGGGCTTATGCTCTCACAGTCACATCGAAGCACAGCCGGCACAGCCGTTGTCCTGCATTCCTTGCAGTACCATCGTCGCCTGCCCGGGACGTCTCAATGATTTCTTGGAGGGCGGGCAGGCGTGGGCCTCAGAGCAGAGGAGGCTGCTCGTTGAGCGTCAGATCTGGCCTGGCACAGGTTCGCCTGGACGGAGTGTTGAAGCTCGTTCTCGATGAGGCCCAGTAGAAGGGCTGAAGCTTGCAGCAGAGTGCTCCCCTGCTCACATGGTGGCCCAAAAGGGAAGAGGAACCGAACTGTAACAGGCATGAGCCTGAAGTACTGCGAGCTTTGCCACTCCAGTGTGGCCTTCACTCTTACGGAGTGGCTTCGCCATTCAGTGGAGCGGGGCACCGGGCAACAAGTGCCTGGAACCCAACTAGGGCTTGCAGGAAGCGCGGTCCGCATTGACTTAAGTCAGCGTGACGGCTGGCTAATCTCAAGAGGGCGAGGTGTGTAAGCTGGCTTGAAGGTCTTCCTGGGTTGCTGGTTCGGCATGTCAAATGTGGCATATAGGAAGCTCGATTCCTGGTGAGTGCAGCTGCAGGCCGATCGAATGCTGGATATGGGCTTCGAACCACAGATTCGCAAGATCCTGGCCAGAGTGCGACGCTCAGACAGTGCAGCATGTGGCCTTGATGAAACGACAGAGTAACTCTGGTCCAAGAGGAAGTACTGTAGCTGCTAGCAGCACACAGTGCGCACAGCACACCCAGAGTCACGGCAACACTACACATGTCCCTGGCAGCTGCCGCGGAAGCGGCACACTCTCTTCTTTACGGCAACCTGGCCGAAGGAAGCACGGGTCTCAGGGAGTCCAACTCAGGAGGGACCGCAGAGCTGGTGGCTGTGATCGCTGCAGGTGAGGAAGTTGGCAAGCGAGATCCTAAACAGGCATGCAGAATCCAATTATGGGCATTACAGAATTATTATTGGTTGACTTGCATTGGTCGACGTCAGGCCCTACAAGGTCATGATCGGCAACCGGGAAGTGCTGAAGGGCAACCAGGCCAGGGCCCAAGTTCGACAAAGGCATTGACAGCGTGTTTGCAAAGGTTGCTTGATGCAGGACATCACGCAGATCGTGAAGTGCATGGATGCCTTCAACAAAAACCGGGAGATTGTCAACACACTCAGGGAGGTACTCGTAGCACATGTTAGATGCTTTGAGGGCTGCTGGCACCTGAAGACAAGTGGACAAGTGTCAGAGTTGGCGCCGGCACGAACGCCTTCCTTGGGTTGTCAAAATCACTAGAGAAGCTCCAGCTGTACAGGCAGGCTTGACGAACCCCAGCGCTAGCGGGAAGGCCGAAGGATCCTGAATGCCTGAATAACTTGTGTTAAGCTCGGATTCTGGGATGTCGGCAGGCACTGGTTTTCTGCAACACCAAGCGGATGTGCGAGAATCTCAGCAATGACCTTCATCGCCAAGGCAGCGGATTGAGCCTTGTCGGACAGACTCTCTGACGCACATGTCCGCCCTGAGGTATGAAAAGCATGCATGTATTGCATTCGGTCAGCATTTACAGTCTGGTGCTGCTCACGGCTAAATTTGAGCTCTGCATGACCTTGGAGAGGCCTGCCTTGCACTTCCATTCATGGAGACAAGGCCGAGAAATGAGCTCTCACGGCGACACGCACGTGCGAGCGCAGCAGACCTTCTGAGTGTTTTCAAAGGCGGCTTGTCGTGTCGTGCAAAACTCGCAGCTCGAGCACAGGATCAGCGCCAGCGAGAAGATGCTTTGCACGGCTTGAAGTCGGGCCGCTACAAGGCTTCCAGCACATTCCATGCGTCGAGAGTAGGGGTTTCGGATAGGACTTTAATTGTGCGGTCTATCGGCGAGGTCTTGGTGGCAACGGATGTTGCTGCCCGAGGGCTGGACATCAAGGGTGTTGCCTGGCGCTCGACTTTGAATCAGGTGGCTTGTGTTGAAGAAGCCTTGTCGTAACATGGTCCCAGGGGCTTGTCATCAATTTTGACCCAGCGAACAACACCGAGGAGCCTCAATAAAAAAGTCACAATTGGATTACATCGTTCACGTCTGCTCCTGCGTCTTGTGTGCACGATTGGAATTTGCAGTGATTCAATCTCTGTTTGCAATTTAGCCAGGATTATGTTCACCGCATCGGACGCACTGGTCGTGCTGGAGCGCCGAAAGCCTAGTGGCCTAGGCGGCCTCGTGCAGAATCAACGGGCTCTTGCCGGCAATTCTGCGAATTCTTAGGAAAGGCTATGCCATCACCTTCATGACCGGCCAGTACCTTACAATTCTTCGCCACCACGAAATCACTGCAAGGGGTGCTGTGCCTCAGAACCCCCACGTTCCCAGAGACACGAGGTCAGGATGCCTCCAAAGCCCGTGGAATCATGGAAGTCATGGAGCGAACCAATCAGGAGCCTGCGCGAAGCGTGTGCGAGCTTGGGATATGTTAGGCAGAGATCACGGGCCCTTCGGGTAAGCCGTGTGCACCCAAAAGAAGACTGCGATAGAAGCGAGAGAGAGAGAGAGAGAGAGGTGTAGGGGGTCAAAACCCCTGCGCCACAGCCCTGGCGAAAGAAAAGAGAGAGAGAGAGAGAGAGAGCTAGTTTTTTTACTCGACTTTCACTCCCCTAAGCCCAATAATAAGTTGGGTGGGCATGATGCCCGGGGGACTTGACCGTCCCCCATGCCCAGGAGAGAGAGAGAGAGAGAGCTAGTTTTTCTGAACCGCCTTGAGCCTAAAGCTCGGTACGTACAATAAGACGGGCCGCAGAGCCAACCTCCAACTCTCTCCATGCCCCACACGAGCACCCTGTAGCTGTTTCCGAACGAGCCAAAGGGGCGGTTGCCCCTGAAAGCAGCATGGACGGCACGCCACGGATCCCAGGCCACCCACCCAGGCAGATACATGCCTTATGCGCCTTTTTCTGCTTCCTCGTTTTTGTTGCAAATCTGCCTTGGTGGAGTGAGCCGTTGATCCATTCGAAGGCTGTGTGCCTCTTTTGCATTTCTACTCTTGGCACCCGCAACAGTCGGGGGCGCACCTGCGCGCGGTGTAGGGGGTCTCCCCCTGCACCACAACCCTGGCGAAAGAAAGAGAGAGAGAGAGAGAGAGAGTGCCATTTTGGCTCAAGTCGTCTGCCGTGGCTCTCCTTTCTGGGGGGGGCCTGCTCAGCAACGGCCCTTTGGGCTCGGGGGGCCTCTCCCCGAGCCTGGGGGTGGACGCTT